TAAACATATATTATTAATAAATTACAATGTTTTAGTTGTAAACCCCTTTGAAATTGGTGAAAAAATAAGCATTTTTTGTAGTTTTTTTTTTTCTTTTGGCTGTCCCCCCCCCCCACGAAACACAAAAAGCTTCGGTATGAATTTGTGAAATGACAGTTCATATTACATGTACCTGTAAAAAGGAATTTTTGTTTCAGAGGGGGAAAGATGTTTTAAAAATATTTTCCGTTTTCCCTTAATTTCCATAGTGAAAAGCACAAGTTTTACCAAAATTATAGAGTTATCTCTCTTTGTTTTCCCAAAGAAGTAATGTTTTATGAAAATTCATATAAATATCTATATAGATATGAAAAATCATTCAAATGTGTTAACTTTTGAAAATTAACTTTGAGGTAGGCGGGAGAACAATACTATCGTTCGCTGTGCTTAACGAATGGCAGCTCAGAAGATTATTAGAAATCACTGAAGAATCCAACCTCATTTTTCGTCGATCGACGTCACTTCCGGTCAAACTGGAAGTAGTCAAAAACCCTCAATTTCACATATAAATGACTAATTTCACTGGAAACGTCCGACATCTTATCGTTTGGCGTTCTTCATAATTATGTCTCTCTATCTCGATAACAACTAATTGAAATTTGAACGGAGACCTACTTGTTGCTTTTCAACGAGCTCCTTTAGTTTTATTTAATATTTTGTCCATAGTAATTCTACATTTTTGCACTTCATTATTATAAAAGATTTTAGCAAGTATTCTTCATTATTCCTTTATTTCTGTTGCATGACGAGAATTTGTTTTCATTGTACATAAAGGTTATAATATTAAGTTTCATTTGTGTGTGTATGTGTGTAAATTACCGGTTGATAGGAAATTAACTGCACTTGTATTTGATCTTTTAAGCTAAATAATAAAGAATAAAAAATAAAGACTTCGTTTATTAAACTTTTGACGCTCCTAATTAATTACGATTCAATGTTAGATATTATACAATTATGGACTCTGTCGGTGGTGAATATGGTTTGTTATTCACCCGAAAAATATCAATATTAACCGAGGCGAAGCCGAAAGAGTCCACAATTGTTTTATTATATAGTCCGGATTTGAATAAATAAGACATTGAAGGCTGCATGATGTTACGACTTTCATTTACGAACTTCTGTCGTGGAAAAAAAAAATGTCCAGTTTACAAGTTATAGCTTCCGTGTTTTCCTTTTGCTGTTTGTAAGACATCGAAATGTTTAGAAAATAATCCTGCTTGGCTAATGTTTTTCCTGCTCAGATACAGAGTTGGCTCCAGTCGTTGCAACCATCGTTTACACCAATGTTTGAGGTGTTGATTGTGACGTCACAATGCTGCTACACGCGCACCGACCCTCCGGTGAATATGACTTCAAAACCAGTGAATATGTAGTGTTATGAACTGTTTGCGTTTGTATGCGCCATTTTCACAGTATTTGTGCTAATTGTGTTGCACTTGGACCAAAAAATAAAAAGTCAAACAGCACATTATTGACATGTTTTCTAGAAAGTACAATACCTATGCAAATGAGTCCCAAATTTTTTTTTTTTATATAAGCATTCTTATGAAAAAAGTTATGCGAAGTCAAATTTTGGGCGAGACCTTGTGTTGCGGACACTACATTACACCTGTTATGTCTAAAATAAAATATTAAAGATATTTATTTATTCCAAACTTCTTGCGGGTTTTGATTATGTACCTAATTGCAGTGAAATAAAAGAAAAATCTTATGGTTCTCTTTGAAAACAAAAAATTTATTCACATTAATGACTTGCTAATTTTTTTGCCTAATTTGTCTCCCTTCCTTAAGTTTATCTACCTTTACAATCACACATAAGACCTATATAATTATCATGTGAAAATTAAATTGAATACTTCTAAATTTCAAATACATTTGTCATAACACCCTGGATATCTTCGTTTGTATCTTGTCTAGCTTTGAAAATGCATAGCATTTTTGTTGCGGACACTACAAGTAACCATAAGAATAATCTTTTGTCATTTTTTATAAAAATAATTGTTGATAAATGTTCATTGCTAGGCTGAATTATATACCACAGGATCAACTCTTGAAAATGTACCATATAAAAAGATGCAGAATGTGGTTTATTGAGATGAAAATAACCACATACATGTAATAAGGAGCATTAATTATTTCTTGTTGTATAATTGTTTTGCAGTTTTAAAAAATGTCTATGATTTTACTTATTTTAATACACTTAAAGAAGTTATAACAAATAGTTTTATAGATAAATTCAATGAATTAAAGAATTTACTGAGACATCCATAATTTTTTTTTTCAGTATTGAAATTGTTGCGGACACTACAATATATTGAAATATTGCTATATGACACCATATTTGGTTTTAATGGAGTAAACTGAAAATCTTAATCTCTAACTAGTTCTATATGTACAGTAAATGGTGTTATATTATAGGGAAATAAAAAATGCTAGTCAAAAATGACTAACCGGCCTGGAAATTAAAACCCATATATGTACCAGTAAGTTTGAAGTGTTATCTTGTACAAAAATCACCACTTGTTATCTTAATCCAGTTAACTAATTGTATTATCAAAGGAGCAAAATATCAGAGAAGTGTTTTACATTTCAAAAATATTTAATGAAATAAAAAGTGAAAATAATAAATGAATGTGGTAACTATATAGTTATTACTGTAGTGTCCGCAATACAACTGTATTAATTAGAACTAGACTTATTAATTAACAATTAACATCTTGATATATTCTTTAGTTTCCACTTATTCAGTTTTAAATACCACATGAAAATTAACTTCAATATATAACATAAGACTGACAATTGAAAGATTTTGAATATTATGTATAAACAAGTCGTTATGGGTGTTATTCAAAGTATGAAGTTATAGTTCCACTAAGTTTTGTAACCTTACATATTTGTATTGAATATTTGGACAATTATAGTGATGATCAATTGAAATCATGTTACATTTCTTTGAAGAAACTGTGAATTTAAAAAGCTGTTGCGGACTCTACAGCGTTGCGGACTCTACAAAACACAATATATTTGCCAGAATTCCAAGCAACACTGAACTAAAGTCTGATATTTTTTGGTAGATAGATTAGTAGCTGTACTGGCCTCTTACATGTAAAATAAAAGAAATATAATTCATAATGCATTCCAGAGTAAGCACATGTTGCGGACACTACAGAATTTTGGGACATTTTTATGCCAGTAAGAAGAAAATGTGTCATTTTCTAAAGTTTCGAAGAATCCACTCAAACTTTTCTTTATTGTTTCATTTATCATTTAACTCTAATTTTAAAATGAACCTAAAGTAAGAGTAATGCATTAACATATATTTTTTTGAAATGCAAGTTCAAACAGGAGAATTTTATTAAATTTCATAACGTATCTGCATTTTCACATATTTAAACATTATTTTGCTAATATTTTGTTGATTTACATACAGTAAATTGCATATAAAAGAGGAATAATTTCACAATGATTTGACATCTATAACTAAGAGTTTCTATTGTAAATCTCCTGAAACAAAAACTGGAAAACAAAGCCTTTTTTCAGCTGCAACAGCATAACGCAAAATATACCCCATATTTTAGGTAGTAAATCTTTAATATTTTTATTGTCTAGAACATGGGAGTGTTATATATCATTTAACTTGTTAGGGGTACCATTTTGTCATAATTTGGTCATAATTGTTAAGGGTTTAATCATATATTTTGATGCAGAGTGCATTATAACATAAGTGAGTATGAAAAAACACAAATACTGTGAAAATGGTGTTCAAGGGTTATATAGGGAATGTGAATAGACTAAATAATAATGATTAATATTTCTGCAGAGTTATGCATACACTTCCTCTCATTTGTGGATTGATCTTTGTATTTTTTTGTACCGAATCATAATCTTTTTTTTTTCACAACATCTTGATTGGCTGAGGAAGTACTTGAATAAGTACTGTAATATACTAAATACATGTGTAATATTTTTTTTCCCTTTGTAGGTTTCAAAGTGTCATAACAAAAGAAAAATATTTCTAAAATCACAAAAAGCATCTATGCTGTATTTGCATGCACTAATACAATTTGTCTGCTTTGACTGTAAGGGAAATCTAATCATTCGCATTGTTATTTATCCCTGGAAGTTTTGAAGGACAATTTTATTACGTTCATGTATATTCCATATTTTTTGCCCTCATTATTATGAAAGATTCTTTAGTAAGTACACTTCATTATTATTACATTTTGACTCTTTGATGGGAGTGTTCTATTGTACATATTGGTTATTATTCAGTTTCATGACTTTTGTAAAAGAACACTGTACTTATGCACGATCTTGAAAGCTTAATTATGGGAAGAAAACAATGAAAGATTTTTTTTTTATTATACTATTGACATTCTTAATTAAAATTCAATAAGACCATTGATTACAGATTCTGCACATTATTGCATACACTTCCTCTCAATTTGAGGTTTGACCTTCGTAATGAAGTCTTTCTTTTCACCACATCTTGAGTGACTGAGAAAGAGCTAATTGTGTGTTTCCTTTCTGTGTGTGGTTTGAAAGTTAATGATTTCTAAGGTTTGAAATGAAACATTTAGAATATTATTTATGGTCAGATTTTTGTAATAACCCCATCATCCTTTCTATGCTTAATAATAAGAGATAAAATAATTCAAACGAAATGTACTATTTACTTTTTTCTTTTAAACAGAAAACAACCGACTTATACTGTAAACCAACTATAATTTGTGACATTTTTTATTTGAGAATTGTCAGTTTAAAATTTATTCACAACGACTATTTGTCATGCAGGAGGAATTATTCTATTAAAATACACAACAAAATAAAAAGTTCGTGCTGAGGAATATTTGCGAGCAAAAGAGAGTCGCAAACTCGTGGCTTTTTCTCGCATTTGAATAAAAGTTGATTAAAAGTATATATACAGCAAAATTATGTTCATTTCTTTAAATAATGCTTACCTTACGCGTGGGGGCCATCACGTCAAAGACGTAGTCAGAGAATCTTCAGCAAATTCCTCATCTGGAAAAAGAAAAAAAAAATGAAATTCTAAATCATACTGAAAAAGTGTTTGCTTCGAGCTTTCAAACCATAAATCTGCTGAGTAATTATTTGCAGTTATCTTTTGCTTTTGTATAGTTTTTTTTTTTTTTTTTTTTTTTTTTTTTTTTTTTTTGTTTTTTTTTAACTATAAAGATTTTATTAGGTGTTTCACTCTTCTAAAGTTTTACTACCCTTGATTTATATGTTGAAGCACGCATTTGTTCTAAAATGTTTTCTTTACTTTTATTTTCTTTTCAGGTATTAAAAATATTCCAAAAAGGGGAGATTTCAAGAAAATGCGACTATGTTGTAAAAGAATTTGTTGAATATTTCCATTACATTAAATGAAATGTATTGCATGTTAAAAAAAAAAGAAACATTCATCATGAAACTTTTCTAAACGTTAGATAAACAAATTTTATTCCTAGGACATTTGGATTTATATACTCTCTCTCTCTCTCTCTCTCTCTCTCTCTCACAGAATCATACACTCGCAGTTATATCTAGTGCCTTTCATCCCGCAATTATCTTTTATCCAGTTCTTCCGGAAACAAAATTTATAATAGTGGGACACTTATATATGTCTGCAATCTTATATTTGCAATCTCGTGATTCTTATGTTTCATACTTTTGAAAAAGGAAGGAATAAAAATTTATTTTTGATGAACATAAAGTTAAAACAAATAAAAAGATATAAAATTCAGTTGAAATGATCTTACATAAATTTTTTCAAATATATTTAAAATTATATTTATAAAAATAAGTCCTTTGTAAAGTATACATGTATCTTTGAGGTTATTAATTTCATAAATATAAGCTACCAAACAGAATTATCAATTGAAGAATTTATCTTCAAAAAATTAAAAATAATGATTAGGGAAAAATCACTTTACACAAGAAAAGTGGGGAAACATTTATCAACTAGCCGTGGCGAGTGTACTTTATATAGATTCAGAATCAGATATATCTTAAATGTAAACATATGAAATATATCAGAATATGGCGTCCTGTTTTAACTCAGATTTCATGATTCAATATACATTTAACATTTATTATGATGTCTTTAATAATCACGCTACAGTTAAGTTTACCTTCCTAAAATTTGAATAAAAAGTTGATAGAAATAAATGATATCGGTAAAAAGTCTACATAAGTAAAGATATTTTCATATGTGAAAAAAGATGAAAATATTTATCTTTGATGTATTGTAGTTGAAAACGCTTAAATTTTCTTAAAACGTAAAAAATGGCTCTTGTATTGATTTCTATTCTGAAATATCTTAATTAATTATATTTTTTATCATCATTTTTTAAATCAATTATAAAATAATTTATTATCTATTTATCTATTTATTTGAGTGCGTTTTCCCCTTTTGTGAAAAAGAAAACAAATGCATCAACGTGCACAAGTACTCTTTCTTTTTTAAAAGGAAACCAAAATAATTATAATCATTTTTAATGTCATCGTATTATTATTATTGTTATTTTTCCAAAACAGTTCTGAAAAGATTATTCTATGTTAATTTTTATTACACATTTAACTATACAATACAATGGGGGGGGGGGGATAGATTTCCATTGTATGAGTTCTGTCATAAATTTAATGATTGTCTTTTTTCCCCTTTTTGCATTTGTCTGATACTTTCTTGAATTTGATTTTATTGCAACTGAAATTTAAAAAAAAAAACACCTGGCAAAAGAACATTAGATTGCATATGAACGTTATAAATTTAAACTTTTAACGAGTCAATAAGGAATTAGCACATAATCATTATAAACCTATCGATTTGAAATGGCAATAGAAAAATTAGATGTCCTATAATCATTACAGATTTATCAATTTGACATAGATTTTTTAAAATTATTACAATGAGCTTCTGAGAATCATATTTTAGTGATCATTTCAATCAATTAAAAATAAGTAATTACTCGATAAGAAAAAAAAGTTCACGTTCTACAAAAAGATGAAAAAGAAAGCATCCGTTTGGGTAGCTGACCATTTAATTAAAATATTAAATCAAAGAATCTGTAATATTAAAAAATTATAATCATTATCTAAAACAAAAGTCAAGCATAAACGCTTTTTGATATAGAGTTAAAACTGTCCTTTTTTTTCTTTGAAAAAAAATTTATATTTTTCTTTTAGGTAACCCATTCGACAAGTATAATATTCGCCCATCCCTATCCCCTCCTTCCCAATTTCTATATAAATATACAAAGATATCAAAGTATGTAATTAAAATGAGAGATTGTAAATAGAAATAAGTTAGAAAGCCAAAAATAAAAACTATGAGTTACCTGCAATGACTATTATCATTCCACACAATGAACATAAAATTCACACCTAACAATGTTAATAATGTCGATGTGTCAGTATTACATGTAAAAGCATAAAACTATAAATTCAGCTCCAGTGCATACAGCCGAATCGATAAAAATCAAGTGGCTGGTTCTGAGTCATGTGATGTTGATGCAGTAATAACTGTCATTTATTCAAACCCGACGATTTTTTTTTTTTGGTTAAAACTGTAAAACATTTGGAAATTTGGGCAGTATCTACATTGTTTTATTTCATTAACGAGAAGTAAATAATTTTGCAAATTCCCCATTTTTTTGTTTTGAAAACTTTAAGTGCAAAAAGATTTGTTAAAACAAAGAAAAATCTGATTGTATATGAAGGAGGGAAAAATTCGATGCCCCCATATAAAAGCTCCTCCGTCTGTTTTTATTCATGTATCCTGATTACTTAGATTCATAAATAGGTTCGGTATTTAGATTTATCTATATCTTTAGTGTATTACTGGTATACTTCTGTCGAGTATATATGTTAAAAAAAAACATTCTAGTGAAATGGGGATGGGGGCATACTATGAAACATGGAAAGGTATGAACTTGTCTTACTTAATTTAAGGTTGTCCCGACTACTAGCATTACCTCATATTTGGCTGCTGTAGGTGCGTTAAATTGATTGTTTTTGTTTTCTGCCCAGTCGGCAATAATATTTCTGCGGCCTGTAGGTATGTAAATAAGTAAGTAAAAAGTTTATATAAATGTGGCATGCATTATATACAATCATATAATTACAATACGTATATAACAGGAATTTAAACACACTGCCCAAAGGGCCTATGTGTTACTTTTAACGATATAACAATCAATAAAAAAAATACAGTAGTATTACGAATGGCGTTCACTATACCTTAAGACTGCCTGTACATTGTAAGTATATGCTGAATACAAGAATTGTGCAGTTTGCCAGAGAAAATTTAATTTTACAAACGGTTTTGTCTAATCAGATATATTGATTACAGTGGGGTTAAATCCAATACTATGAAAATATTTGAATATGAGGTAAAATGCAGCAAAAGTGGCACTCGTCTTCTACATTATTTGAAAAAAAAAATAAAGAACACAATCCTTCAGATAAAGCTTCCCCTTCATACCGTTTTTTATCCCAATTCTTATAGGTAATACACCCAATCTACAAAATGTAAATCTAAATTGCTGTAATACTGGTCTCAACGAAGGTTTTTTTTTCTCTAAAATTTAGATTTATAGCTTATTAACTGTTATTGAAACTTGTGAATTTTTGCTGTTGAAACATCAACCGAAAAAGTAAACTTGGAGAAATTTATGCTTTCACTTTCGTTTGTATGTCTGTATGCTTGAAACTTCTGTTCGCTATACAACAAAATATGTGGATGGATTTTTATGAAATTTTAATCATATGTTTATTAAGCATGAGGAAGAAACGACTTGTTTTTAGACCAGATTGGATAAATGATATTGATGCTGGATATTTTCATTTTGTTGTTGTCTTGCTTTGGTTATTTATTATTATTTATTTATATATTTTGTTATTTATTATGTGCTTTTGATTTTGTTGTGACTTTGTCAACTCTCTGCATTTTATCTAAGGAAGTTAATTGTTAACAGACAGAGATCAGAGAGATAAACAAATATGGATACAGGGTTTACTGTGTGCTGGACGTAACAATTATTTTTTTTTTTTTTACAAATGTATTGTAAAACACAATAAAAAATTTGAAATTCAACATCTTTTAGACCTCCTCCTATATGCATATTCTCTTTTATAATGACTGTAATTCACAAGTTAGAATATCTTATTTCTAATAATTTGAATATTCAGATTGATTGATTGTATGATGTTTTACGTCCCGTTCGAGAATTTTTCACTCATATAGAGACGTCACCATATACCGGTGAAGGGCTTCAAATTTAGACCTTTACTTGGCACTCAGGGCCATTGAGCAGTGAGGGATCTTTATCGTGCCAACGCCTACTGTGACACGGGGCCTCGGGTTTTAAGGTCTCATCCGAAAGACCCACAACTTTCACTTCAATGTGCTTGGCGAAGGAACAGTTGCTACCTACTTTTTATCGACCTTCCGATCACGGAGCAAAATATTCAGATATTTAGAAGTTAAAAATTCATTCCTGTGTACTTTCAAGAAGTAACCAAAACATATGTTCGTCTTTCGATATACATGTTTATGTCAATCAATGTACATATATGAAGGATTGAATAAAGGATTGAACCTAATGCTTATGAACATCATACATACAGCTGTATTTCTTTTTTCTTCATTTTACACCCTCAGAAAACTTTCTTTAAATGTTAGTTTGGTGTAGGAAATTTGCAACTCTCTTGTGAATAAAGGGCAAAGGAATAAAAGGTTTTGAAGTGTTTATTTTTAATCTAGACTTTGAGAATAACAACTACAGAAACTTTTTTTTGAGAACAGGTAAAGGTCAATTAAACCACAATTGAGGCCAAGATAATTCTAAAGCCATTTCAATATGAGGCAAGGTCAAATTTCATATGTATTTATTATCTAAATAATAAAATACATTCTTTGTTTATATGGGAAAGTTGGGTTGCAGGATCTAGCTTCTGTAGTTTAAAAGTTGATAGTATCTATTGAATCAACAGTGATAATTGATTTTCATAAATAAGAA